ATTTTATGTCGTGTCAAGGATTGAACCCAGTGCCTCACACATGCTAAGCAAGTGCTCTACCACTGAGCCACATCCCCAGCCCCTATATCCTACTTTAAAAAAAGTAAACGATGAATTTGAAATAAGAAATCCCCTGTGACATTCACACCCTGTAAGGGTCTTTCTATAAATGTATTTTTTCTTTTCACTCTTTAGACAGTGTTGTGTGTGTGTGTGTGGTGGTGGTGGTGGTGGTGGTGGTGATGGTGGTGGTGATCCCAGGGCCTCACACATGCTAGGCAAGTGCTCTACCACCGAGCTATATCCCCTCTTTTCATTCTTGACCTCTAATGACCTCCCTTCTCTTCTGAGAAAATGTTAAAATATCCAAAGCTTCCACTCCCATGTCCATTTTGCAGGCAATGATTCTGCACTTCTGCCTTTCTGGCGGCATCAGTTGTCAAAAACAGAATGCAGGCCAATGCCCTGAACAGCTCTACAAATGACCTGATTTGAGAAGAGATGAAGCTTCTCAGTTCCTGGCATTGGTTGGCCATGATTGGGCTTCCTAGGCAAGCTTTGGCTTCACCTAGAAACCCTACTTCACTCTGGGGAGAGATCTCTTCTCCCATGGATACCAATTTTTAAGAACCAGAGCTAGAGCTGGGGCGTGCACTTCTTCCATCTGTCTTCCTTCCTCCAAGAAATACACAGGTCTTTAGAATTGTTCTAAGTTTACCCACATTTTATAAGCTGGAAACTCAGAGTGGCTCTTGCCTTCATGAACACATCATTGGGGTTATTTAGGTTGCGTTTGTTTATCTTTTCCACACTCACGGTTTGCCTGTCTTGGCAGTCTGCTGTCCTAGGCAATAATAAAGCTTTTGTCGAGGTGAGCCAACAGCTGATGGCATGGGGCACAGAGGGGACTCCTACAGTGGCCGTCTGTAATCTGCCAGGCTAGTGGTCGGAGCAGGCAAGAACAAAAGCTAGTCTGTTTGCAGGCAAATTGGAAACTCAATGTGTTAGTTGTGTTCTTCTCTCATTGCCTTTCTCCTGGCTGAAAGTAAGAGTGCTCAGCCAGCAGTCCAGAGATTGATCCAGGCCAGGTCCCCATCCAGAGTCTACCTGCCTCTTGCAGAACTGAGAGTTAGAAAAGGGCCCACATTTATCCATGTGAACTGCTTATGAAGTTATTGACCCTGGAATTTTTCCCACTCACCAACCAAAATTCAACCCTTACTTGGCCCAGTGTTTTTCTGGTTTATGTTCCATATAGCTACTCACATAAGTTCCCTAATTTCTCTTTTTAACACTGCTTGGGGGTTAGAGAAGAGTTTACTTGCTGCCTGACTGGGAAATGCATGAATTGCACTTTGGGCAGCATGTTTCATATACGTGTATGTTGATTCTTATTCCTGATTTAAAGTGAGTTTGTTTTTGTGGTAGTGGGGATGAAACCTGGCACATGCTAGGCGAGTGCTCAACCACTACGCTGCATCCCCAGCCCCGCTCATTTCCTAATTTGACATACTGTTGGCAGTTGCTTGAAAACGTCCTCTACATTTGCTGTCATATGGATTGTTGTTAGGTCTTAGAGAGCAGAGATCATACAGGTAGCCATGCCTGAACTATCCTGATAAACCTCTTCAAGGGCTACTATACAGAGATGATTATGAGTATCTTTCTTTTTAGACTTCTAAGAATAAAGTGTGAGAAGAAAAGACTTTTGAGAAGAAAATTATTTTCTGTTCTTCCATGTGTTGAAGTTTGCCTTAGAAAGTTAACAAATGGCTTTACATAAATTTTCATTTGAGCTTTAAAGGTCTATAGCTAGGTTCTCACTGTCATCTTTGTTATAAGTCTAAAAATAACCTGCTGATCATGAATAAGAGGTTTTTGGTTGGATATAGTCATGAATAGTCATAGGTCTGCGTTAAAGTTCAGCAACAAAAAGTGTTGGTCACTGAGACATCCTAAGGCAGAAGGTTAGGTTGAAAATGAGGATTAGTTCTAAAGTACTTGGGTAAAGGAGGAAATTGGCATTTTTAATTTTGGTTTGTTTTAAAATGAAAAATAGATTAAATCTAAAAACCATTATAACAAAAATCCTTTAGCATCTAGTGGTCCCCTTGATCTCTGGCACTTTACTCCCCACCTTGTATTATTGTTAAATACATGTGTATGGGTTTTTTTGTTTTGTTTTGTTTTGGTACCAAGGATTGAGCCCCAGGGCACTGTACCACTGAACTTTACCAGCAACCCTTTTTATTTTTTTAAAGACAGGGTCTTGCTAAGTTTCTGAGGGTCTCACTAAATTTCTGAGGGTGACCTTGAACTTGATCCTTCTGCCTTGGCCTCCTGAGTTGCTAGCATTACAGCTGGGTTCCACTGCACCTGGCATGTGTATATTCTTTTTGTAATGAGGCCTCATATGGGGCATTTACTATTCCTTATACATACTATAGATGTTTGCAAAATCATCAGTACATAATAGCATTTAATACTAATGTTGATTGAAGCTGTTTTTTTATTCACTGAAAATCTATGGACCAAGAATTGTGAGGCCCAAGTCACATGGAGCAAGTCAATTGATTCCCTAATTACCAAGGGAGTTTACCAAGGGAGTATCACTATCATAGGGGCCATGCACCTGATATTGCACTTGACATTTTTCCTTTAAATATAAAAGTTGGTTCTAATGTAGCTAGGTGGTAGAACATTTGCCTAGCATGCACACGGCCCAGGGTTTAATCCTCAGAACCACAAAAATGTTAAAGAATAAATGAAAGAAACTACATTGGCCAATGCACTTGTTTGTTTTTGTGGTGCTAGGGATTGAACCCAGGGGTGGTCTACCACTCAGCCCTTTTATTTTTTATTTTGAGACAGGTCTCACTAAGTTGCCCAGATAGCCTCAAACTTTCAAGCCTTGGCCTCAGCCTCCCAAGTCACTGGAATTAAAAGCATGTGCCACCAAGCCCGACTGGCCAGTACATCTTACACTTTCAAAATTTTAAGAGTAACAAGGAAAAGGAATCAAGCAGTTCAGCTATTGATTTGAAAATGAAAGAGAAAACATGAAATACTGAAAGTTGTATTTTGTGGTTTCTATTCAGAAGATCTCATTAGAACTTGTATCTAGGGCACCTACACAATGCTTTTCTCTGGTCAGGGAACTCTTAATCATGAACTTAATTTGACATATTTTTATCTCTCAGATTTTAAGAGAGCTAATTATAAAGAGAAAAATTATAATGAAAGAGACATTTTCCAGCCAAAACTAAGATATTAGAAAAAGAAATAAGAAAAACTGGGGAGGGCTACATGATCATAATTCTGTAAAACATCTTCAGATCTTATTTTGCCAAACATCTTACCAGAGAACTAATAAATAGCCTAAATTAAATACTAGTTCTCACTTCCTCTCCTTTTTTCAGCTTTTACTTTGGCACCTATTCAGAACAAAACTATCCCAGTGGCAGATGGCAGGAAAGAGCGTGTGGCAGATTGAATAATCAGCCTCTTAAAAATGCTAGTATTAGCCTGTGTCCTCAACTCTTGAATATGGCACAAAATACTTTAACTCCAAGTTTGTTTATTTTTTCTTTTCTTTTCTTTTTTTTTTTTTTTTTTTTTTTTGGTCTGTACTGAGAATTGAACCTAGAGCCTCTTCAATGCTAGGTCATTCCTTCTTTTTAAAAAAGATTTTGAGCCAGGCTGGTGGTACACACCATAATCCTACTTACTTGGGAGTCTGAGGCAAAAGGATCACAAGCTCAAGGGCAAAGTGGGCAACGTAGTAAGACCCTATCTCAGAATTTTAAAAAGGCTAAGAAAGAAGTTCACTGTATGAGTGCCCCTGGGTTCAGTCCCAGTACTCGAAAAGAATTTTAATTTTTGTGGAACCCAGAGATCACCCTACTTCCTGATGGTTAAAAGCCCATGTGGGAACTTAAGACATGATATGAGATAGGAAAATCCATCCTAATCAAAACAGATTAACAAAAAGAGTGAGTACAAAGCCCTGGATACAGCCTCCTCACATTCCTTGCTCTACTCCAGCTTGATTTTTTGTCATAGAGCCTGAGGAGCAAGAAGCAGCTTCCACCCAGGTGTTAGCAATGTATGTGCACTGAGGCAAGGGCTGCATTCCCAATTCCTTTGTGGTATTGCTCCGTGTAAGTCCATCTTACTGTTGGACTGGTGCACACCTCATCTTCAGCTGTTTAGAACTTGTGGAACCACTAGGGAGCTGAGGAGGCAAGAAGAAACAGACCAAAGGGCTAGAATGGAGTTGTGAAGAAGATGGTGGGTTGTGGATCATGAAGGACATGAAAGTTCAAATTGGCTTGTCCTTCTTCTCCTCCTTCTTTTCCTCCTTCTTCTCCTTCTTCCTCTTCCTCCTCCTCTTCTCTAAATTTCTGTTTTTCTTTTTTTTGTGCTCATCTGCTTTAAAACTTATAAAAATATGAGCATCAGCTTCACATCTCCTTTGTATTTACATACTGCCATGGTTAATAGAGTATGTTCTCCAAATAATGTCTTGTAAATATCATATTAAAATGTTGAAGCAGAGGTACTAAATAAGGATTTTTTTTTTTAATGCCAGGTATTGAACTCAGGGCCTTGCCCACTAAGCCACATCCCCACCCCTATTTTGTATTTAATGAGACCCTGCGTCTAATTAGTGCCTCGATTTTGCTGAGGCTGGCTTTGAACTCACAATCCCCCTGCCTCAGCCTTCCGAGCTGCTCGAATTACAGGTGTACTCCATTGCGCCCGGCAGGAATGAAATTTTTTATAAATTCTTATTTATTATGTTGCCTCCTCTTTCCTGCTTCAGACTTATAATTAATGAGTTTCAACTTCAAATTTATATCATCTTTTGACCTATAACTTTTGGTCACATTGAGTGCACTGAGTAAATTTCTAAGAGAAGACCTGCTGATGAAAGATGTATTTTGATACTGACATTTAAGAGGTGACATCAGTTTTCTTTCTTCTTGTGCTTTATTTAGATTTCGACATAGTCCCAACTGCTGGTACCTAAGAGATTGGACTATCCACACTTGGATTAGACAGTGTCTAAAATATGGTGCAGAAGACAAAGCTTTGTATACCCTTGTAAATAAGGTGAGTAGTTTCCTGGAGTATTTCCTGAGTTAAGAGGATATGGAGTTTGTACATGTTACAGTACAGCAAGGAATAGTACCAGAAATAACTTTTATAAATTATCTCCCCTCAGATGCTTTTTCAAAATGGGGCTGAGTGTAATCAACAAAACAAATTATAAATAAATTTTCTGTAGCTGATACTTTTCCAAGCATAATGACTCAAGAAAGGACAGGTAAAGGTTGAAAGATAGTTCACTCAGAACAACTCTGTACTGGTGGTCATTTCATTCTTTACCCTTAAGCCTAGGATTTCTTGCCTAGCTCCTTTTGATAAAGTATAAAGGGAAAATGACCAGTTTTGCTGGTGTGTCATCTCAAAGGTATTCAAACTTATCTTATACTATTTTTAAAGACTGTACTCCTAGATATTTCATCCTGTGTCTTTGCATTCTCTGACTACTGACCTCAAGCCTGAGATGAGGATCTAGGTCTTTGTTTTTTCAACTCTAATTTGAGCGAGTTGTATTAAATCAGTGGTTTCCTATTCTGCCTTCCCATTAGTGTCATCCACGAATCTTTAAAAAGTATAGGTTCTTATCTCTGCCCCCAAGAATTTAATTTAATTGTTCTTAATGGGGTCTGGGCATTGGTGTGGGGTTTGTTTGTTTGTTTGTTTGTTTTAATGGTTTCTAGTTTTTTAAATAAGTGTTTAGATCAATTTTAGGTTTACAGATAATTAAGCAGAAAGTACAGAAATTTTCCATATGTCTCCTGTCCCCATATATACTTAGCTTCCCACATAATTAACATTCTGCCCCAGTCTTTGATTAAAAAAGATTAAAAAAAAATTCTGCCCCAGAGCAGTACATCTATTAGAATTGACAAACTTACATTGACAAACACCTCATTATCACACAAAGTCACTAAGGTTCATTCTTAATGTATGCATTTTTGGTTATCAACAAAGTGTTCAATGATATATATCCACCATTATAGCATTGTGCTGGATAATTTGCCCTAAAAAAAATCCACTGTGCTCTGCCTGTTCATCCCTCATAAATATTTTTATTTTTTAAGTTTCCAGCTGATTTTAATTTATAATGAGGGTTGAGAATTACAAATCAGTTGATTTATAAGGTCTTTTTCAGCTTTAATGATTTATCATCCTAAGATAGTTTGGTTTTTTTCTGTGCCTAGGGATTAGTGCTAATTTGGATGAGTGTTTTGAGAAATACAGATCCTGCCCATGAGATACAACCTTTAAAACAGTGACTTTTAAACATTTCTCCATTTAGCACACCTGAGGCATCCTGTGCAGCCCACCAGTGACAGCAAGTTAGTTCCGCAGTGTTTCACAGTTAGGGTTTAAAAGGCTGGGGTCAGTACCTCCCAAGGCAGTGAGTGTAGTTGGAAAACTTTCTCGGGTGTTTCTGGTAGGGAAGAATGGAGAGGGGGGTTGGGGGAATTGTTAACCTATTGAAGTAAGAATGTAAAATAAATGTGCAACTACAATCTAGATTAGTGGTAGTCAAACTTGAGTGTGCATGAATATTATATAAGATGCTCACTAAAGCTTCAGGTTTCTATGCCTAGTTCCAGAAATTCTGTGGATCTGAGGCTTAGGAATCTGTATGGTTTAGGAACTCCTAGAAAATTCTGAGGTAGATGCCAAAGAGTTCACATTTATCCCTAGAATTTTATTCTTAAAGTGTCTGTATATCTGATTCTCAAATACTCAGCTGCTTAAAAGTACAATATCCCAGGAGGCTGGTTAGTAGCAAATATTTGCTAACATTTTTCTTGGGTCTTTAAAAGCCAGGCCAAGAACCAGAATATGCTGCACAATGTATATTTCTCTTGAGAATCTATTTTTTGCATTGTTATTCATACTTTAAAAAAATCACTGAACCAGTTAGGGGGGTATTTGATTTTTTCTTTTTATGTTGTTTTTAGCTATGGCAAGGTGTTAGAATTGAGCTTTCTCACATATCAATTGTCTTACATCAGACACCCACTCACAACTTTCTCACCCTGACCAACAGTTCTAATTACCAAACCTCATGAGTCACAGCTTCTGTTTCACTGTCAGCAGATGCTGTAAAATGATCGTCATAGGGTTTAAAGCTAATGGTGACACGTTTTATCCTGAATAATACATAGGCATTTATTACAGACTGCATTAAATTGGGATGTGTTCTTCTTTTTTTCACCTTTATTTTCATTTATATTACAGGTTCAATACGGAATTTTTCCAGATAACTTTACATTCAATTTACTGATGGATTCTTTCATAAAGAAAGAAAATTACAAAGGTAGGAAACTAAACCCAGATTCAGTTATTTATTATAGGGCTTTCAGCTTCTAAAGGGAAATATATAAATGCAAGCACTTTCCACTTTTTAGTTTCTTAATGACATCTCTTTACATCACTCTTTTAGTCAGAAAATTTTCATGTAAATATTGTCATTTAGGCAAAAAAGCTTAATATTGTCCCCTTTTTTTAATGGTTGTTAGAATAGGAAATATATTTTTTCAGTACTGGAGATTGAACCCAGGAGCATTCTACCTCTGAGCTACATTTCTAAACCTTTTTTAATTTTGTTTTTGTGACAGGGCTTGCTAAATTGCCTAGGCTAACCTTGAACTTGCTATTCTCCTGCCTCAGCTTTCCAAGTAGCTGGGATCCTCACTCATCTAGGATAGGAAATATAAAATACATAAATGACTACAGAGGAAATGTTAATTATACAGGTTTATCTAATTTTACTACCTAAGCTTTTTGAAATGCAGAATATAAATAAAGGATAAAGTAAATTTGATTTAATATGCATGTGTAATTTTGAATTCTGTAAGGAACAGTTGGCAGAACTTGGATTTTTTTTTTAAACAGATTTTTGGCCTTGGGTTCTAAAATATTATTAGTTTGTTTATTTAAAAGAAAATCTCTTCCAAGTCCTTATTTTACTAGGCTCACACTAGATGACTTCCTGGTTTGCCTGCCTATCTCAGTTTCCCCATTTGCAAAAAGAATATAGATATTCATGTCTATGGCCTCCTTTAGAACCCTGACAATGTGCAGCTGGCCAGAAGCAGCTGCAAATCATGCTAACTTTGATAATTATGAATATATACAAAAGCAACAGATTAACTCAGTTGAAAATAGTTACTATACTTATGATGTGTGCAGACGTTATATTTTAAACCAATATTAGCATTCTGTATTTTAACAACAAATAACTGAGGAATGGAAATTACTTGAAACTGGTTTTCTTAGCTTCTATCTGTTGTAGAATATCAAGGGAAAATAAGAATTGCTCAAGGCCTGCTCTCCTATGACCAGCTTGCATGTGAAAACAAATATGTTGTATGTTATACTCAGGGGCTTATAATTTATGAATGAGCATTTTCCTTTCCTTCTTTCAAGTCTTTTAAAACTGGATCTTACTGTCCTCTTTTATACTGATCAGTTTTCTATTGTCTTTGAAATGACACTTGGGATTTGGGATTTCCTCTGGCATTTGTCTACTTCTGCCTCACTGGAAAGGTACCAGTGCAGAGAATGGTGCTAGCAGCCCAGCTTCTCTGCCATGCTTGTCAGGGGTGACCTTGAAAATAGATGCATCTCCTTTTTGTATGCCGCAGTGCTTAATTCTGCCCCACAATTTTCAAGGCATTTTCATTTGTACTATCTTGGTAGATTGTCAACAGATCTCTTAAAAGCATTTAGGGCAAATAACATTTTATCATTACCAAGAGAAATGAAGTGGTTTATTCAGTGTCCTGGAACATGTTGATGCAGTAGCACCTGATTTCATATTGTACAGTAAGTACAATAGAAGTTAAAGGCTTGAGAAAGACCTATTTTCCCAGGGGTGCTTTGCCATGGCACTACATACCCAGCCCTTTTTTATTATTTTAATTTTGAGACAAGATCTCACTGATTTGCTAAGAGTCTCACTATGTTGCCAACACTGGCCTTCAACTTAGAACCTTCTTGCCTCAGCCTTCCCAGTTGCTAGGATTACAGGCATGCACTCCCACACCCAGCTCTATTCTCCACTTTTAAAAAAAGTATTTATTGTTAAGAGATTTGGTGATGTTACTACAACTTATTTTCACTTTTATCTTCTTACCCAGATGCTTTATCTGTGGTTTTTGAGATCATGATGCAAGAAGCCTTTGAAGTGCCTTCCACCCAGCTTCTCTCCCTGTATGTTTTATACCACTGTCTGGAAAAGAAGACAGACTTCAGTGTAAGTAATCCGCACTAAAAAAGTGGTACTGTAAGCTTTAGGAAAGAGCAAGTGGTGGTTGCTTACTTAGAGGAAGTCTAGGGAAAGGTATCTGATGTGACCTTGCACGATCAGAAAAGAGTTTATTTCTGAACCTTCTAGTTACTGGTTTGTAACAAAATGGAACTGAATGTTTTGGAGGATTTGGTTGGTTTTTTAATTTGTTTTAGAATTTTTTTGTTTTTATTTTTTGTTTTGTTTTGCTTTTTGCAGTGCTAGGGATCAAACCTGGGGCCTCTTATATGTCAGGCAAGCACTCTTTCACTTAGCTACATCCCTAGCCCCTTGTGAATAATAGGAAACTTAACCTATGTAGAATGACTTCAGACATTCAGAAATGGGTCATTGATAAGAGCTGGACATGGACTATCAAGGAAGCAGGTGGGCAGCTACCTTTGACTATAACCTAGGGAATTAAATGCCACTTGATTTGTGTCAGTATTTTTCTAAAGTTGTTCTAGGCCAGTTGTATTCTAGAAAGTTCAGAATGTCAAGCTTTTGGTCTTTGCTCTTAAATTAGGGTTTAGACATTGTTTGTTCTTATCCTAAGTAACAATAGAAATAACAATAACTGGTATTTAAGTAGCACTTATTTTACACCAGACTGTGTGCTTGGTGTTTTAACTGTATTAGTGCCTCTCATCTTCACTCTATGCAGATAAGAAGACTAGGCCATAGAGGTGTTACAGAATAACCACCCAGCTGGTAGGTGATGCAGCCACACAGTATGAAGCCAGGCACTGTGGCTCTACTGTCTGCTCTTAACATCGAATGTTAAGATGTAACATCAAAACATCTTGTTGGGGGTGGGAACTGAAAAGGTGGTCTAGTCCAACTCCTATTCTAAAGAATTTATGGTATGCTATATCTTATTAGGATGAGTGTCACAGCATATGGCATGCACCCCATTCATTAGTAATTCATTAAATATATATTGAGCATCTATTCTTTCCACACATTACCAAGTACCAGTTATACAAAGGTGAGCAAAGATTTTCTGCTTCCAGTCTAGTATTTTAAAACAAAATGAAACAAAACAAACATGCAAATATAAAAATATGACCATAATAAACACTATGAAGAAGTCTATGAAAGGCCTATCTTGTAGGGAGTTTTCTTTATATAGGGAGTTTTCTTTATATTTTAAACTTAAATTGGTTAGGAAGGGTTTCCTTAAGGAGTTAGTTCTTGGGTTAACATGTGAAGGACAAGTGGGAATTTACACTGAAGAGGGAAAGAACAGTCTAAAAAGGGGAAAGAACAGTCTAAAAAGAGGAAATAACATGTTCCAAGGACCTGTGGCAGGAAGAACATGGTGAGAAGAAAGCGGCTGAAGGAAGATGAAGGAATGGAGGGAGGATACAGTGAGATAAAGTTGGAGGACAGAGGCCAATGGTGGGCCGTTTTGTTTTTATCCTAAAAATAGTGAGGAGCCATTGAAAAATTTTGAGCACAGGAAGTAACAAATCAAATTTGTGTTTGAAAAGATCCTTCTGTCTATACTGTGAGTAAGAGCAGGACAAAGGTGACTATGGTCAGGCCAGCTGAGAGACTCCCATGCAGACTGAACAACAGACAATGGTCATGTAGCAATGAGAGGGCCATGGAGTCAGTGCCCACTGGACATATTTGGGAGGTAAATAACAGGAGAGGAGCTAGATGTGGAGGAAGGGGAGGCAGAGGTCAGTTATTTTCTCTTCAGTTTCTGAGTCATCTGGACAGAATGAACACCATGTTTGCCAAGGGAACTTTAGAAAAAGTTTTTGTTTGTTTGTTTTTGGCTTTGGATACAAGGGATTGAACTCAAGGACACTCAACCACTGAGCCACATCCCAGCCCTATTTTATATTGTATTTATTTAGAGACAGGGTCTCACTGAGTTGCTTAGCACCCCACTTTTTTGCTGGGGCTGGCTTTGAACTTACGATCCTCCTGTCTCCGCCTCTCACGCCACTGTAATTACAGGCGTGCACCACTGCACCAGGCAAGACCAGATTTTATGAGGCTCTGAACATCTTGCAATTTGAGATGCTTTTGAAACAGTTAAGAGATTTCATGAGGGAAATTGGAGGCTTAATGGAAAGATGTGAACTGTAGATACAGTTTTGATGATTAATTATACATCCATATATTTTCAAATGATCTATCACGCAAAAGGAAGGAAAATCAATGTTGTATGCATTTATCTGATTATTGTGCTCTACCCCATAATACCATGTGCAAATTAAAAATTAAAATAAGAGGAGAATATGTCTTGAGCTCTGTAATGTTTTGAACAACCAATAAAAAAAAAAAAAAAATAAGAGGAGAAATCAGGAATGTATTAGACCATAAAATCCATAGGAAGAGAGTGATCTACAATGTAGAGTGCTTCTGAGAGGGAAGAGTAAGATGAGGAATAAAAATATTTCATTGAAATATGAAGTATTCTTGCAGTTGCACACCTGTAATCCCATAGACTTGGGAGGTTGATACAGAAGAATCCAAGGCCTGGAAAATTTAGCAAGACCCTGTCTTGAAATAAAATTAAAAGGACTGGGGATGTAGCCTGTTGGTAAGAAGACACTGAGTTCAATTCCTAGTGAAAAAAAAAAATTATTGAATTTAGAGACATAAAGACACTAAATTATAACCTTTGTATTCATGCAGATATGGAGCAAGAATCCAAATTGAAATGGATTAGAAAGTGATTTAGAGGTACGGAAAGGAGACAAGAAGTATAAGCAACTCCTCTGTGATGTCTCACTGTGAAGTGGGTGGGAGGAGGGCAGTGAGGATTTGCTTGGTATTAATAGGAGAGACAGAAGCATAAAATGGGAAAACCTTGAGGCCGCTAGTAAAATAGCACCTGAATTAATCCACCATATGGATTGGATATTCCTTATTCAAAATACTTGAGCCTAGAAAAATTTCACATTTTTTCAGATTTAGAATATTTGAACATACATAATAAGGTACTTTGGGGATGGGACCCAAGTGTAAACACAGACTTCATTTATATTTCATATACACCTTTACTTAGAGCCTGAAGGCTATTTTATACAATATTTTGAGTAATTTTATGCATAAAACAAAGTTTCATGGTGGTGAATTTTCCACCTGTGGTGTCATGTTGGCACTCAAAATGTTTTGAGTTTTGGAGCTTTGCAGATTTTCAGATTAGGGATGCTCAACCTATATCACTGTCCCAGTCACCGTTCCCACCTGCCTGATCCCTAGCCCAACAAGGATAGCTGTCATGTGCTTCAGTGCTCCTTTGGCTTCAACCCTATTGTACTGATACTGCAGCTCCTGTTTTTCCCTTGGGGATGGGGGATGTTCAAGTAAGCCGGGCATGCGGGGATAATCAAACTTCCTGAATTAGAATAGTTTGGGGGAATAAAATGACCTGATCCTTAATTATCAGCTCTTTTACTTCTCTGCTGCTGAAGGACCTGAGGATGGTGGTGTTTTTCTCCCAAGGTTTCTGCTGTTTTCAAAGGTTTAGGAAACCTAAAGAACTGGCATTTGTGTTGCATGAAGGCTGTTCACAGTCCAGAAGTTTGGGCACCTGTGAACACCTGAGCCGCCTCATTCATACCTGGTGGTAGCTGCAGCCTGTGGACCTTGATCATTCTTTGCTTCCTCCCTGAGCTCAGATGCTCCCGCAGGGCAGCTGGACCTCTGTGTGTTTCAAAGCTGGGCGAAGGCTGCAGGTCTAGCTAGTGTGTGCTCATGGCACTGAGGTCACATCTCCCGTTGTCTCAGGAGCTGCCAAGGTTCTCCTTGGCCTGTGTTTCTAGGGAGTCCCCATCACTACTATTATTAGTGTCTGAAAGGCATAGCAACACTTGTGATTTTGCCCCCACTTTATGTCCCCATGTCTCAAAAGGCTTCAGTTTTATTGAAGTATAATTTTGCACCCTGGGTTGAAAGAAACAATAACTAAGTGTTTCTGATTGCCTAATTTGTTTTTAAGAGGCACAAATCTATCTAAAGGCGACTGAAGAGTGTTATTTATTTTAACATTGTGAAGGAGAAGTCATATTGCTGAGTTGTTTAAAAGTGAAAAGCTTGCTCATCATGCCACAGCCCCTTGAGTGACAGCTTGTGGAATCTTCCTTGATGGCCTCAAGGCAATGTGAACTCCAGAGTGAACTCTTTATTTTTGTTTTGTTTTGCTATTCTGGTTGTAAAAGGAACTCTTATTCATTGTAAAAAATTGGAGAATAATGAAGAATACAAAGAAGAAAATCAAAGTTACTCATTAATTTTTCTGCTCAGAAATCTGTCAACGTATAGGTTACTTCTGGTCTGTAGTTTTCTTTAAACACACATAGCTTTTATTTACAAAATTGGGTTATAATATTTATAACTTTCTTATTTTGTGATATTTATCTAATTATCTAATGTGATAACATGTTTTTCCTCCATTTCATCAAAAGTCACATTTTTGTAAAAAATGTTCAGTGCTTACATGGACCATGATCTGGTATGTTCTATTGCAGTGGGAAGAAGAGAGGAACTTTGGTGCATCCCTATTACTTCCAGGCCTAAAACAAAAGAATTCAGTGGGTTTGAGTTCCCAGTTGTATGGCTATGCACTTCTTGGTAAGCTTATGTATATTATTCTTCATGGATACACTTGGTACATTCTTGTATTTCATAGTAAAATTTTAATTTGATTTGAACTTACTAGTAGAATTCTTACTATAACCTTCATTTTTAAAAATTCATCTATTTATTTATTTACTTATTTTTATTTTTTGGTACTAAGGATTGAACCCAGAGGTACTTTACCACTGAGCTACATTCCCAGTCCTTTTTGTTTTTTATGTTAAGGCAGGGTCTCACTAAGTTGATTAGGGCCCCAGTAAGTTGCTGAGGCTGACCTCAAACTTGTGATCCTCCTGCTTCAGCCTCCTGAGCCACTGGAATTACAGGTATGCACCACTGGGCCCAACATAACCTTCATTTTTAGACATAAAAGTAGAAGGTCTCCATAGCCTTCAGGTATGGCATAAGGTCAGAACTGGTTCTGGAGGCTGTAGGTAATATTTGGTTAATCACCATGAGGGAGGGGAATAGAAAGGGAAGTTCTTATTCATTCTATTTTTCTTTTTCCTTTTCTGTTTGCAATACTGGGATCAAACCCAGGGCCTCTACCACTGAGGGGCACAAGCTCTGGCACCCTGTAGGGAGAGCCAACCAATCGAATCTTCCCCCCCATATTAAAAGAGCTCTTCCTGTCTCTTCAGCCATGAAGTGCAGGAGGAAAGAAATTAAGAGTTGGGGTTAAACTGTCTTTGGTTTTGTTTTCAGATGAGGGAAGAGAAACTCAGAAAGTATAACTCTTAGCCCTTTGGGAGAAGCAGAGAGCTGCCCACTGGTACAGTGTGATTGTAGAGTGTGGTGAGATAGCAGCTGGCATTTGGACCCCTGGTTGCATTGAAAATCAGAAGGTTGAGAGGATTGGCCTCAGCAGTCCTGGTTGTATAGAATCTGGACAAATAGCATTCAATTTAAATGTGTCCTGGTTTATAGAGATTATTAAATGCTTGTTAGTTCATCACCCTTCCGTTCTCTCTTAAGTAGTTAGGCCTCCAGGAAACCCCCTTCCCTTGATAGCAGTTTGACTACTTTTTTTATATAACTTTATTTTTTATTTATTTATTTATTTTTATGTTGTGTTTAGGATCGAACACACTGCCTCAGAGATGCTAGGCGAGCTCTGGGCCACTGAGCCACATCCCCAGCCCCAGTTTGACTGCTTTGGAAGTTGATCTTTGCCAACAAAACATAGTGTGGCATTCTTGGATGCTGATTCTAACATAAACTGAGAAAGAGGTAGTTCATAATTTATCAGACTGGCTATCAAATTAGTAAGGGTTGGCCACTCTTTTAAACAGTTTTTTCCTTATTTGCCACCTACTTTTGTATTGATTTACCTGTGTTTTCCTTTGTGTTCAGATTAGCATTCAGGATGACTACACTGTGTGGATTTCTCAGGAAGTTGGCAGAACTAAGAAAATGTACTTTGCTTTTGTTCACGAGCAGATGCCCTGGTGCATCGTGACTGGCAGCCATCAGATCAGAGCTCTTTGCTCTCACTGATCGTGTGCAGTGCAGCCTGCTCAACCCTGCTGGAAGAAGCAGTGGCCTAGAATGTTGCTGCCTCTAGCCCCAAGCACCTTAAAGATCTAAAATTAGCTGTCACCTGATAAGCTTTGTCTATTTGTATCCTACTATAGCTTTCCCAAATCCTCCTTCCTGGGAAAGATAAACGAAGGTGGATTTAAGGCCTGGCAGTTCAAGGTGACTGGTCATTAGTGTAGAGAGGTTTTCTGCTCCGCTGTACAGACAGCCTCTCTCACTGCTAAAGACCCTGTTGTCCACATCCACATCTTCAGCCCCAGTTTTGATGGTGTGAGGTTCCAAGGGGAATTTTATGTCCTAATATCCAAAAGGATCCCCAGTACTCTATGATTTCAGAATTGATGGCCCTCACCTAAAGTAAGGGGGAAAATTAGATTTTTCCCCTCCATATAGATAGTCGATTGGGTGTTTTGGCACTTTTTGAAAAATGTCGCACATTTCCTGGCAAGAGAAAGTTGTCAGCTGTTGACAAAGTTGTCACTGTAGGAAAGTTGGGGAAATTTCTTTTTCTAATAAAGATTTTGGTCTTAAATAAAAATAGCATTTCCGTTGACTTATGTTTTAAGGGTAGCCCTGCTCAGAGGCAGATATTTCAGTATTAAGATTTCCCTCAGCCCGATAATTCATGCAAGCTCATACTCCACCAGCCCAAAAGAAAAAGAAGAAAAACAGGTTCACACAATTTTGTATTAAATTTATGAAGGTGAGTTCTGCTAAAGAACTATCTGAAATATCACCGGGACACTGGATGAGGTAAGGCTGTCGGTGCAGATTTGAAATGATCCTTCTGTGTTTCTAGAACTGCAAGGCAAATACTCACTAGCACCTCCAAGTTTTCAGTCTCAGAGTGGGAAGACATGCTGAGCCTTTTTCCTTGTCCTTTCTTGGCCACAGGGAAGGTGGAATTGCAGCATGGGCTACGAGCTGTGTACTACAACATGCCTCTGATGTGGAAACCAGGCTACCTTGACAGAGCCCTTCAAGTGATGGAGAAAGTGGCCTCTTCCTCAGAAGACAGAAAGCTGTGTCGAGAAGCGGTATGTTCTTCAGCCCTGAGAACATACTCACTGAGATTCAGCCATCTTTGTGACTCATGATAAGTTGAGCTTTGATTTTTGTTTTGTCTTTCCCCTACCCCTACTTTTATATTTGTGTACTTATTCAGTTAAAAGGAAAGAATAAACACAAATATTTTCAATGCTACCAACAAAAAACATTATAAGATTAATGTTGATTTATAGCTTTTATTGCCCCAGAGGAAAACTATTCCCCTCCCTGACACTAAAGCTAAATTTAGTAAAATATTGCCTACCCTACTACCTTCCCTCAACTCCACCCCCCAAAAAAAATCTCAGTGGGAGCGTAAGAGAGGGTAAGATCGTGTGTTAAATACTTCTAGCATTTCTTTACCTTCACGTAGTACTGAGAAATTACAGAGGCATTTTTCCCTTATAAGAGCCCTCAAGAAATGAATCTGGGGCACACATCTATAATCCCAGCAACTCAGGAGGCTGAGACAGGAGATTGCAAGTTCAAGGCCAACCTCAGCAACTTACCAAGACCCTGTTTTAAAATGAAAAGGACTGAAAATAGAGCCCTGGGTTCAATCTCCAGTACAAAAAAAAAGAAGAAGAAAAGAAATGAGTGTCAGAGATGGCATGATCTTTTCCTTCCATTAAGCCATTGTGTGATCAAAGTGTGCACTGCTGAGATCTGGGTCACATTTTTTTTTTTTTTTAAGTTCTAAGCTGTTTGCATTGCCTGATCTTTGAACACTGTCCTCCCACCAGCTCCAAAGCTCATCTCTCATAACACCCTTGTCACTATGAAGTCACTAGACTTAGCTCAGACTCTAGAAAGCACGATAAGCCTTGCACCCCACAGGGAGCCATGGTGTCCACTCTCTCCAAGCAGCCTTTCTAGCCAGTGAGGCCTCATTACCAGAGTGAAGTATCAGGTATTTTGTCCTTACCCTGTCCACTAAGGCCCACTACTTCATTTCAGTCATGAGACACACAGGTCTAGTGCCTTTACTGTCACCTTATACTAATGTGTAGCAAATCATATGTTCTTTACCAGTGTTTATAACAAAAGATACACATTTCTAAATATGCATTTTAAGCCTGCTGTAGTCAGTACTAGTGTTTGAAGACACAAAATTATACATAAAAACCTTGCCAGGGAAATATTCCTTCCTATCTGAATCAAATTTATACTCTTTATATTCTAACTTAAAAGGAGTCTGATTCACATGTTGGCAAGAATATGCTATATGTCCAGCTTGGGCATTGTGCTTCAAGTAGTAAAAGGACTTGAAGTCATTTGGGGGTCTTGTTCTAATGTGATATGGACAAAATAATCAGTGTGCAAGTAGGTGCTTATGCCCGCCTCGCTGTTGTTTCCATCCCATCTCTGACGACTAGGCCCTCTGTGGGTCAAGGGAACTAAACCCCACAGTGGAAGCAAAGGGGAGAGGGATCGAAACAAAAAGAAACTCTGTTTTTTAATTAACCTACTACTTAAGTCACAGAAATCACCTCATTAAAATGAATTTCATGGATGTATCTCTGGCCTTTGCCAGCAGCTTATGTAGATCAGACTGATCCCTAATTTATAGATACTCTGTGAGCCGAAGTCTTTCTCTGAGAGAGGCCCTCGCCTATACCCAGCAGCTTTACCATGCATTCACACTGGCCTTTTGTTGGCTGTGGTTTGTGGTGGTCTTTCTTTCCCTTTGTCCCAATTCTAAACAGATTCCAAAGAAAGACATGGGAAGGGGAGGTACTTTAACGGCAATCAAGCATAATTCCCGGTTTCCTACCTTGCTAATTGAAAGCAGACTTGAATGCCATGGTGCTGATTCACCTATACAAATAATCTGTAGCTTGCTTATTTGTACCATTTGCTTTGTGCGGAGTTTTCCATGCCATCCGAGAGGGTGTTTCTAATGTGCAAAAATACAATCATTTATATTCCTTCTTTTGTCAGTGCTGGGGGTGAAACCCAGATCCTAAGCATACTAGGCAAGTGCTCTACCTCTGAGCTGTAGCCCTTGCTATTTTCTACAATTTCATAAAGAAAACTTAGCAGCTTTTTAGATCCCCTTTTCCCTTTCTTCTACCATCTTCAGCTTCTCTTCAGTTTGTTGCCAAGACCACATGATGCACTTATAGTCCCTGACCCTCTCTCTGCTCCACAGCTCAATGTGCTAGAAGGAGTGCTGCACACACTGACTTCCCCAGCTGAAGAAACTTCTGAGAAACAGTCCCAAGAAAGTGACGACAACCAGGGCTCCAAAAACCTGGTGGAGCTGCTAGACATAGAGGAACCAGAACAATCCAAGCTGCCCCGATACCTGGAACGATTTAAGGTAAATCAGAGCAGAAATTGAGTCTCTCTCTGTTGTGCATAAAGCATGTTCCTCTGCTGTGGTGATGGACAAGTAATCTTCATGCATCAATGTCACACACAAAGGCATGAAAAAATGACATTAAAAAATAGCATTTGTATTGCTTTGCACAGAAAGTGGTCTTAAAAGAAGCCAGTGGAATTTTTATGCTTCTTTTTTGTACTTAAGCTAATCGGTGATAGTTTTGTTCACTAAGGCAGCATGTCATTACCCACTCACCCCTGATATGTGCCTGGTGGGTGGATAATGGCTCATCTCCTCTTGACAATATCCTGATTCCTGCCCCTGGTGGAAAGTATCGGGTCACTTCTCCATATTGCCCTGAGTGTGCCTGATCAGAAACTCACAAAGCCACATTAAACAAGAAGTGGCAGGATGTAGGCATCTTTTGTTGCTCAGCTTTGGCAACTTCATGCTGTTCTTTAAAACATTAGAAATGCTCTTCTATGCTACGTGGCCTGGTAAACAGGTTTTCCCTGTTTCTTTACAAAACAACCCGAACTCTCAAACTGTCTTTGGTAGCTTTTAACTGTACATCCGTAACTGTTCTGTGATCAGCATCGGAGAAAAAGAACCATGTTCAGTGTTAAAACCCTTGGCCTACTCCTTGCTTTGTTTCTCATTCGTTTAGTGCAAAGAGGAAAAAGTGCTGCCTGAATGGGAAACCTATACACAGAACAGATAACCTGCCCATCTGATGCCAGATGACCTATTGGTGATTTTGTAGCAGATAGATGTAAACTTTGCTAGGTTATTATATTTAAATATATTCATAATCACATCAAATCAGCTATGGAAAACCTCTTTTCTTGTGTTGGAAGGGGAATTCTATGGTATTTTAAGCAATTCTTTCTCCCAATACTTCAGTAAGATCATTGTACAATTTTTCTTCTTTGTAATTGAAACTGAGAACAAAAGGTTAACTAATGTTCCCAAGATATACAGAGAACTAGGTTGAGAATTTACATACCCATCTTTGGCTCCCCAGTTTTCATTCACCGCATACACATTGACCAAGGTTGATATGCTATTAAAAATTATAACCTCTTTCTGTTTTCTCTCTCTCTCTCTTTCTCTCTCTTTCTCTCTCGATTGATTCTGGGGATTGAATCCAGGGACACTTTTAGCACTGAGCCACATCCCCAGCCCTTTTTATTTTTTATTTTGAAACAGGGTCTCACTAAGTTGCTTAGAGGCTCACTGAATTGCAGAGGCTTGCCTCAAACTTGCCTCAGCCTCCTGAGCCACTGGGATTACCACCACACCTGTTATAACTTCTTACTCTGGTTTTGTATATATTTCATCTTAGAGGGTAGAAACTTCTATCTACTTAAAGTTCTTAACCTTTACTCTTCTGCAGATGTATTTTACAAAAATCAAATCAAAAGACAGATGTTTGTCAGCTACTAGCTCTGAGGCACCACTTTACTTCATTTACTGGTTTTCAGAACATGGGAATATGTGGTATACGCTGCAGCTGGGGCCATAAGTGGTGCTGTCTGATGAACTTTATCTTGAAGCATTTAAGTAAACTAATGTTTTCAGTGCTTCTCCAGGAACACAGCACTGATCAAACCAAGTGCCATTTCAGATGGAGCTATAAGCAGGCAGGAAGGATATGAGGCTGATCTGCAGGAGGGCACAGCAGTTGGAAGCCTTCATGGGGGCTGTTTAGTATGCCATTAGTGAGAAGCCATCAAAATGATTTCAGTCTGTTAAAAGGAACGCTAGTAAGGCAAAAACGGACTTGTATGTATGGGTGCACTTGCTCTAGTTTATCAGCTATCTCAGCCATTTTGTTTGCATCCTAGAATCCTGGTGCTTGGAGTTTACTGCTTGGTTTGGAGTAGGTCAGAGTGGAAATGTAGATGTGTTCTATCCATGCTGTCTTTCTGGTTTATAACAAGAAACAACAGGGAGTCAGCAGGTGGAGTTCCGCTTTACCTCGTGGGAGTCAAGGGGGAGAAATCACATGTGGTGAATCTTAGCAAAACTGCTGAGCTAAAAAAATAAAATTGCAGAAAGCTAGCAGTGCCTGGATGAAAGAGAGACAGCTTTCCAACCAAGGCCCTTCCCTGTAAGCAGAGTGTGTGGCTTTACAAGTGACTTAATGGCTTCTCTTCCTCTCCCACCTACCCCCACCCCTCTTGTTTCCAACAGGCCTCACAGTCCAAGCTTCAGGCTCTGGGCCGAATAGAGTCAAAAAGCCTTTTGACTCTGACCACACAGCTTGTCAAGGAAGAGCTCCCCACCTGTGAGGCAGAGGACCTCGCCACCTATGAGCAGAAGCTGCAGCAGTGGCATCGGGATATGATGCAGTTGATTCAGAGGGAGCAGGAGCAGAGGGAGAGAGCGAAACGGGAGCACCATACCCGGAAAGCCGCAAAGGGAGCAGCTTAACAGGCCCCAGGTTATCCCTGCACAAGAACCTCCCTAGGCTGCCTCAGCACTCACCAGCGACAGAGCAGGTCCCCAGCCTCCACCAGCTGGCTTCTCAGATCAAGTTTCAGGTGGCCCAAAAACCATGATGTGCTACGTATCAAGACACTGTGACTGCCCAGCCAGAAACCAAGAAGGGCTGAGAACTCAGAAAGTGGCAAATGGTTGGGCTGAAGCCATCAGCTGAATACCTTAAAAGGGACTTTTGAGGCTCTTGATGGTGCAGGGATCCTTTGTGAGTATGGAAGGTTGGCAGTACATAGTGAGGGAGCTGGGGGTGGGCACTGTGGCTAAAGAGCCAGGGCTCCCTGCCCTCTGCCCAGGCACATCAGGCCTCACTACCCTCTCTGTGAACTGACCATGGGTGCTCACTATTCCACTCCTCCTTCTCCCCCGTCTTGCCCATATGATTCTGCTCCGGGAAAAGTTCAGAACAGGAGTGTACTCAGGACCATGACTCGCTGGATTTAAATTTTAGACACTGATGGTAACATTTTGAGAATGTAAAAGCCTTTGAGGAGAAACCTAGCCCTAGTTGTGAAGCCTTCTCAGCATGGCTTCATCACATTGGGGTAATTTTTCCAAAGCATTGTCTAGCTCCGTTTTCAAGGAGGTAGAAAGAGCCTTTTGTGTGTGCATGCACACACAACACACACACACACACACACACACACACACATTTTTTGGTTAAAGAAGTTGGAGAAAATGAGAGATGGGTTGGGTCCTGAAGTGCACAGATGATATGCAGAATTGTGAAACTGTCAGAAGATGGGAAATCCCTTTTTGAAGTTTTCTCCTCTGTGAAGGGGTCAGGGGACAGCTTTTGCTTGCTACGTAATGTTGCCTTTAAGGTCAATGGTGTATTTTTCTTGAGGATTGTGCTCATTTATCAAGAAACTATGAAAATAAAGAATAAAATGAAATAATTCCAGAACATTTATCTTTTGGGGAGAGGAGAAGTCTTAGCAGTATTGTTAATGTGATTTTGAACAACACATTCTCAGCCCTACTATGTAGAACTGTGACATCTCTAAAAAAATCTTCATTCACGGTCACTAATTAACTAAGCCCTCCCCTGAGATGGGACTGCCGCTGCCCCTCCTGGCATATCCTCCATGTGTACAGTAGTCACCCAGCACGGGCCCTACAGTCTAGCTGTGCTGACTTCTGCGTAGTAGAAGGTCACAACAATATTGGTTTGCCAAGGGCAAGTGTTTTTCAGCTATTCCTCATCTCAAGATGGAGATTCAAGATACTCAACAGTTAACTTTTGCTCCATGAGTGATTTTTATGCGTGAAGCAGCTGGTTAACACTTGGCTCATAATTATGCCTTCACTTTTCCTTCCCTTCTGTCCCTATTTGTACTTCACTTCCAGTCTTCTCCAGGAGAGGCCCTTCTGCCCCCAGCAGGCTCTTACATGCTCCTGCTCCTCAGGAGTCCTTCCATACTCTCTCTCCCAGGGCCTCTTGAAGTCCTTCCCTTCCAACTCATCTACCCTCTCCTCACGCCCCCATCTCCTAAGATGTGGATACTCTTCCACCTTCCTTAATGACTGTGATTTCCAAGTACAACTATCTTCTGAGGCTTTCTCTGACATTCTCTCTGTATTCTTCCATGAAATGGAGAAACAGCACTGAGTACCCTGTTACCTTCCCACTAGCTGACCTGCCAGAGTCACCACCAGATCTTCGGCATCATAGCACTGATTTACAGTCTTAGACCCAGAAGTCCCATTCTCCAGTCTCATACTATGACTCCTGCTGAACCAGCTTGTCCTGTTATTCCCACCTATAAACTTTTACCTGTCACTCAAATCCTTGATCTCCAGAATTCAGACCCTACTTGTCTCATCCCAGCCCAGTCCCCGTGGTCAGCCATCCCACCTACATCTTGCTTCTACTCAATAGGGATCTAATTGTGTCCCCTAAGAAAATATGTTAAAGCCCTAGTATCTTAGAAGCCGATGTTAGTTGGAAATAGGTGTTTTCTTGAGGTACTCAAATCAAAATGAGAACAGTAGAGTCAGCCCTATTCCTAATTGGTATTTAAAAGGGGGAATTGTGTGGAGACAGAAATACAAAAGAAAATCAATGTGAAAATACACTGGGAAATGGGTAACTGTCTGGCGTGGAGCATCTGCAAGCTAAGGGATCCCAGGCTGATAGCAAACACCAGAAGCTAGAAGAGGCAAGGATGGGCTCCCCTCGGGTCTTCATGGTGAGCAGAGAGCCCTGCCGACTCCTGGACTTTTAGCCTTCAGAGCTGTTCTGTTCTTAAGAGGTCCTAAGACCTCACGCCTCAGCATGTCAGTAACTGATAATACCGCCATTTGTTTTGTTTGCTTCTGACTACTAACAACTGGTAATTGTTTTAATCACCTTTTTCCTACTGTGACCAAAATACATGACAAGAACAATTAGAGGAAGAAAAGTTTATTTGGGGGCTCATGGTCTCAGGTTTAGTTGGCTGACTCCATTTCTCTAGACCCAAGACAAGGCAGAATTTATAAAGAGTATACTAGAGGAAAGTGGCTCAGGACACTGCACCAGGAAGCAGAGAAAGAGAGAACTCTGCTCAACAAGGACAAAATATAAATCCCAAAGACACCCCCAGGGACCCACCTCCCAGCACGCTTCACCTACCTGTAGTTAACAACCAAGTTAGTCCCTATCAGGAGATTAAAACACTGGTTAGGTTGAACCTCTTGGCCTAATCATTTCATCTCTAAACTTTCTTCCATGTCTCACACATGAGCTTTTTGGGAATACAATAATACAAAGTCATAATTCAATTTCTCTACAAAATTAAGTCCTCTTTAATTCAATAGTCACTCTGTGCCAGGCATCATGCCACATACCTGTAATCTCAGCAACTCAGGAGGCTGTGGCAGGAGGATAACAAGGTCAGCCTCAGTAACCTAATGAGATCCTGCCTCAAAAAAGGCTGGGGATGGACCAAGGCTATAGCTCAGTGGCAGAGCGCTTGCCTGGCACATGTGAAGCACTGGATTCGTTTCTTGGCACCACATAAAAATAAACAAAGGCATTCTGTCCATCTACAACTACTCAAAAAAAGAGGGGGTCTGGAGGTATAGCTCAGTGATAAGCACCCCTGGGTTCAATCACCAGTAAGAGGGAAAATAATAGTCACTGCTTAACTATAAATGACTGAAGGTTTTACTGCAATGGTTTTGCTACTCTGCATGAGCCCAAGGTTCTTGCCCTTAGAATTGTGAGGAGAGGATCTTGCTTCCACTTTATCAAGAATATTGGGGCCATGTGACAGCTTCGGTCTCCCTTCTACTTCCAAGTGATTGCAGTCCTCTTCTTCCCTTCCAAGATCAGACTCACTTGTAATCTTGACTCCATAGCCGCCCGCTTTTACAGAAACACCAATAATTTTCTTTCCACCTGGCATCAGCTCTCCCGAGTTCTTCCAAGTCTATAGTCTCATTCAAGACCCCTTTTGCTTCAAAAAACAAAAAAGGCTGGCTGGGTGAGGTGGTGCACACCTGTAATCCCAGCTATGCAGGAGGCTGGGGCAGGAGAATCGCAAGTTCAAGATCAAGCTGGGAAAAGCAAGAACCTTGTCCCAAAATAAGGAATCAAAAGGTCTGGGGATGTGTTTCAGTGGGAAAGCAACCTGGGTTCAATCCCGCATACCACAAGCAAATAAAAAAGCCTTTATCCTTCCATCAATCAAGCTACCCTCTCCTCCGTATGTCACCAGGCTCCTTGAAAAGGTATGCACACGTACTGGCCCATTGCTCCTTCATTAGCCCTGAGAACTGGCTTTCAGCTTTACTTCTGCTGCACAGTGTGCTCATCAACTCCCACAATCCTGTTTCCCCTCTTAAATTTGCTTTGTTTGACTCCCTGATCACTTCCTATGTGCTGGCACCGCTCTCCTGGGCTCTCAACCATTTAACATACACTGTGCAGCCACCACACTGAGTGCTTTGGAGTTGACAAAGATAAGTGATAGAGATCCTGCCCTCACATAACTTAGCTTCTTTTAGCTTCTATTGAAGGAGAAGAGGCCGACACACAGATACCTGCCAACCCAGCTGCAAGGTGTCAGAGAGTCAGGTAAAGTGACAGGGGAGTTCTCAGGAAGATCACTGCAGACTGAGGGATGGGAAAGCCTCTAGCAGCAGGAAACAATCCCGTTTTGTGCTCTAATTCATCCCACAGTTCTGCTTCAAGCTGCCTTGGGTAGAGGAGGCTTCTCCATTGAGTCTCCTGCAGAGTATTCATGATAAAGTATTTTAAATCCAACTAAAATAAACAATTCTGACAGATCTGTTTGGCCTATGCCCAAGACTCACCTTGGCAAAAAAGAAAGAAAAGAGGGAGGAAGGAAGAAAGCAAGCGAAGAAAGGCTAGTGGAGAGAAGAAAAAAACAATGGTGGGGTATAAATATCTCAGACTCCTCAGGGCTCTGTTCCCTTGGCAGCAAACCTTGCATCTTGTTTTCCTGCCTTCCAGTTGATTACGGATATCAGATATTTGTGCAGGAAGGTGGTTGTAGATCTCAAAGGAAGTAGTCAAAGACCCTGAAAACACGTTGATCAAAGCCACTTTTTCCCACCCTGAATGAAGACAGCTAGCTTTGGCATCCTTTGTCGTCTGACTTTGGACATCTTCCCTGGAGTGTAATGTTGCGTTTTCCCTCTGCTGCAGCTACTTGGTGACCTTTGAAAAGCCTTTATAAGCCCTGCAGGAAAGAGGGAAAACAGCTCTTCAGTAGAGCAAAGAATTTAGGATTGGAATGTAAACCATGTTCAGAAACTCGTCACTGTATTCTCCAGGAAGCAGATGCTGAGTGACAGGCACCCATGAAAGCGAGTTTGGGGGTCATGCCTGCGAAAGGTAAAAGGAGGTGGAAGTAGCATTGTCAGGGAAAGCCCATGGGTGTAGACCTCACGTCTGCGAAAGGGAAGGAGCACTGGGAAATGCTCAACCCCATTGCCAACCTCCGCTAGAACTGTGACCTGACCACCTTTCCTACCATGGACCCTAAGCTACCACTAAACTTAATGACATACGTCCCCTCTCACCAGGGATTTCCTGATGGCTTTGTTGAGTGTTGGGTCTCTATGCAGCTTAAAGCTGTGCTGGGCCTCCTGGCTTCCTGTGATGTATGTGTCCACCCAGCAGGCTCACTCCCCAGGTTTATTCAGGCCTTGCCAGTCTGTTCTGTAGGGAACCTCTCTTTCTCCAGGCTTTTACCAGCCATCCTGGAAGCAGGTTTGCAACATCCTTAAGTGGTAAACCCCTTATCCACTTTGTGGTTCTGAATTAATTCTTAAGAACCAATGATGAGAGCAGCACCAGACTTTAACCTTCAAGACAGAAACTCTGTGTCTTGTTAATTATCATATCCTGACAGAAAACAATCACTCCCATGACGAAGATGCTGCTTAGGAATATTTATTGAATAAATTATTAGGTTGAACGTCCTTGGGCTGAGCTATATAATTCTTGGCAGAAATATTGAAACACTAGAAGATAAACACACACACACACACACACACACACCCCTGAATTCCTACAAGGGGTGGTGTAGGCCAGCAAAAGTGACATCAGGTGGAAAGTTCATGGGGACTAGCAAGGAGAAGTGTCAGAATTATCTTTCTGTCTCATATGTATCCAGTTTACTTGCCTCAAAGCAGAAATTGATAAAGCCACGACACAAATCTCATGATTCCTAGAGCAGAAGCTAATATTTAGGCTGAGCATGGTGGCACACACCTATAATACCATCAGTTTGAAAGGCTGAAGCAGGACTCAAGTTCAAGGCCAGCCTCAGCAACTCAGTGAGGTCCTAAGCAACTTAGCAAGACCCTGTCTCAAAATGAGAAAAAAACAAAGGACTGAGGATATACAGCTAGGTGATAAAATGTTCCTAGGTCCAATCCCCAG